ATATGGCGAAGATGGATATGATTGTCGACACGCATTTTGTTCACTAAAGAATAACGAATATTTAAAATAAGGAAATAGACAAAAAGCTTTCAAAACAAAAAAGATACAAGCACGCAAAAAAAGTCCGGATAATTATGCATCAACCTAGTCAAATAAGAGGCGCCTTTAGCACAATCCCGTAATGGTCCGTTACCGACGTTGGGCCGGAGACTTATAGAGAAGATACACAGAAACCGATTGATTCATAGTTAAAACACCTGACTAACTCCAGTTAATCTATTTTATAGTTAAATAAATTCTTAATTTACCTTTCTATAGTGATCATCCTGGTAAGACTAATTTAACGTTATGACTACATACAGAATTTTGAATGAACAGAGGTTCGAGAATTTTTTCTAAGAAGTGGGTAAAACCATAGTCAACCGGTCATCGTGTCGTTGAACGAATGGATATGTCAACAAGTGTCACGCATCCAAAAGTGATGAGTGTCATGTTCAATTTCAGGGTACACAAACAAGGTCTGTCCATCCTATAGTTCTGTGAAATTAAATTGATAAGTAATACTTATTTCTGTAGCGATACATGTACGTGCTGGGAGCAGTCATATCAACTAATCAACACTATGGAACATACCAAGAGATACGCATGCCACATTTGACAAGAATTTTGACCTAATGATAAGCGTCTGGGATTATCAACTTAACCATATGAACACTTATCACTTTCAATTTTCGGTGCTGAAGTGTCTACATATATCAGTAACGATCTGCCCATCGCTCTAATCTGAATTTCTGCGGCTTGATAACATGAGACTACACTTTCAAAAGTCGTTCCTTTTCATGGCAACTCCGATGTTTTAACCAGGATTTTTCGCTGTAGAATTTGGCTACTACTTGCTTTCCAGGTCATATTTACATCAATTGCTTGATAGACCAAAAGTAGCACTACAAGGGCTGAAAACACTACGAATTAATTACTTAGATGCTGATGGCCTGTCTTCACTCGTCGTGCAGGCCCCAGCATAGTATC